GTCTTGCCCTAAGAGGTCACCAAAAAAATCCACCTACTCTCTCTCTCTCTCTGCCATGCAGATTCATAAGACTTTCAGGTTAGGAAGACCCTAGAGGGCAGTGTCAGCATTATCTTGGCCAATATTTTCTGAAAAATTAAGGTAACAATTGTAATATCTCCATTTTGAAGATGAGTAGAAATAGAAGTTAAGAAACTTGCCTTGAGTCATGTAGTTCATTGTGGAAAGTCGATTACAAAAAGCAGTCACAATCGTTTACCCCTCCTGTAGCCTCCTCCTTTGAAGTGTGACTTTGCAGCTGCTCCCATCAAGAGGTGGCATCTGGGGCACCTGGGTGTCTCAGTGGGTTAAGCCTCTGCCTTCAGCTCAGGTCATGATCTTGGGTTCTGGAATCAAGTTCCGCATCAGGCTCTCTGCTCAGCGGGGAGCCTGCTTCCCCCACTCTCTCTGCCTGCCTCTCTGCCTACTTGTGATCTCTCTCTGTCAAATAAACTAGTAAAAATTAAAACATAATAATAAAAGAGGTGGCATCTGGGCAAGTCCTGTGACTTGCTATGACTAGTAGAATGTGGCAGGAATGACCGTGTATCCATTCTGAGACTAGCCATAAGAAGTCTTAAACACCGTTTCTCAATTGCTTCGAACGCTGTGCACACAAAGGAGTCCAGGCTACATTCTACTGGAAGATGAGAAACAGGTGGCCCATGACCGAGGCCATCCTACATGAGCCAGCACCTAGAAGAGCCACTGACCATCAGCCAACTGCCAGCTACACGAACGAATCTATCCTGGACCAGGCAGCTTCTGGATGACCCATCTGCTGACCACAGCGCATGAGTGAGTCCAGCCAAGATCAACCAAACCTGGCCCAGATCAGCAGAACCACCCAGCTGACCTGCAGACTTATGAGCTAAATTAACTGCTTGAGCTTTCAAGCCACTAAGGTTTTATAGGTTTGGGATGAAGTGACAACTGCTGTTGTAAAAGATCTGGGACTTGAACGGAACACTATCTGACTTCAACACCCGGGAATGCTCTCAAATCCTGTGCACACTGTAGCCGGGCTAAGGCAATACCTTCCCCCCCCTTCTTTTTTTTTTTAATTTTATTTATTCGACAGAGAGAGATCACAAGGAGGCAGAGAGGCAGACAGAGAGAGAGAGAGGGAAGCAGGCTCCCTGCTTAGCAGAGAGCCGGACGCGGGGCTCCATCCCAGGACCCTGGGATCATGATCTGAGCGGAAGGCAGAGGCTTAACCCACTGAGCCACCCAGGCGCCCCCCTTCCCCCCCTTCTAACAAGGAGTGCATGTAGCATCTTCATTAGATTGTAGGATTGGTCACAGTGGGTTCAAAACCCCTTACCTTGTAGGTAACTGGGCAACTGACCAGCAGCTTAACCTCTCCAAGCCTTGGCATTCTCTTTATGTTATCTTCAAGCAATAGCAACTACTTTGCAGAGACACCAGGAAGGTAAAATGAGATAGTATATCTAAAAGGCCCAGGGTTTAGTGTGCCGCGTGTGTTTTCCTGGAAGATGGACGTCTGCAATGGGTCTAAAAGTTCTTGAGGACTGAAGTGGGATTCCGCTTTCAGTGTTGATGTCCAACCACCTGACAGGTGTAGGAATGGATGTCTCTGAGATAATGACTTTTGATGGCTTGTAACCTTTAGTTCTACAAGAATGCAATAACTTTTCCTCAATTATAAGCATTTTTCTAGATCACGATTTCTCAAAGTGAAGCCTACAGGTCACTTACCTGAGTGTCACCAGCTGCCTGGCAGATTCATGGCCTCATCCCAGACCTACTGAATTAGACTCTTCCAGGAGCAGAGTCTGAGAATCTACATCTTAAACGAAGTTCCCAGTAATATTCACGCACATTAACGTTTAAGAGCCACTGCCCTAGAATCCTCTGCTAAGACGTTGAAATACAGTAAAATGTTTCATCTTCTCATTTTTAGTTGCTTTTTAGTTGGGTGTTCCTCTAGGATTACTTATGTCCTAAGATTTTAGGTCAAAAAAGATAATACTGGCACCATTTTTTTCCAGAGGTAGTGCTGACATAACCACTAACTTTTTGGTGAAAATAGAATACATAGCAAGGATTGAACCAACCCAGATGATGTTATGATTTTAAAAAAAAGTGTATCAACATGTTACTCCTTGAATAAATACTGGGAAATCAGTTTTTCCTGTTTTTCTTGTTTTGCATCTGTATCCCATAGTCCTATATGTATAATCTTACGTTAGATGTAGAAACAGGGGAGGAGGGGACTGGGGAGAGCATTACTAAGAATATTACCTTGTTTTTACTGTTGTTGTTATTATTAACAACATTCCTATTTTCACAAAGCAAGCATTCAGAGGAATAGGAAATGACTTGACCCTAAACTGACTTTGAAAGTTTGTTCAGTCTGAACCAGCTTCAGCCAGAACGTTTTTGTTTACCTTTGGAACTAGCCATTGGAGAGAACTGTGGGCGTATTTCACTCCGGCTAAATTCTTGAGTTCACCTACCTTTAATTAAAAGTGTAAAGTGTCTTCGTTTGACGTCTTTTTGGCTGATCTGTTTTCACAGTATCATGTTTTTTAGACTTTGTCACCAAAAGTAGAAAAAGGAAAAATAACAACAGAAGGAACTACTACAAAAAAGGCCCGTTGGAAGCCTATTCCTCTTCAGAGGACACCAGAGCTTAGAACTTTTGATTCAAAGCTCTTCATTTCCTACAAATATTTTTTTTTTCACTGTTCCAAATACGGAAGAAACTCTGAATAGCAAAAGTGCTGTGCTTTTTAAAAACCTGCTGGACAACTTTTCATCTCTAACAGCACTGAAGTTTTGCCATACCAGACTGTGTATGACAAACTGCAAAACATATGCATAAAAAATCTAGACTCTTCTAATTGTGCCAATCCATGGCGCAAAACTTACTTCTGGAACCACACAGCTGTTGAAATCAGTCATATTTACAATTTTTACAAATGAGTTTATTTTAATAAAAACAAGTTACTCTGTGAGCATGATCTCTAAACAGATTTATGTGGGCTAGCACAATCTGCTATGCTAAACATATATTCATATTGCTTGGGTCTGCAAGCAGTTTCTTTTTTTTTTTTTTTAAGGGTGATAACAGTCTTGCTTCGTACAAGGATACCAAATAATTGGCAGCAGCTCAGCCAAGGACACTGTTCTAAGCACTGTGCTATTGAAGTTGTTTTCCTGGACAGAATTGCCCTGTGGGCATGGCCCTAAAGTGGGAGGACTCTGGGCTGCCGGCACTGGGCAGTGAACCAGGCAGACAGCTTATAGTGAGAAGGAGGTGACTCTATTAACTGGTGCTAAAGAAGATGAAGAAGAGGAGTTAAAGAAGGAAAAAACGAACGGAAGGAGAGGGAAAAGGCAGAGAGAGAGTGAGATTTACATTCATCAGAATATACCCTTAAAAGGGATTTCTTTCTGGATTCCATCATGATCTCTTCTCCCCTCTCACCTTGACTGATGTTTTTATGCTCATGTTTTTCACTTGGTTACTCGACTGTAGCCTCCTTGAAGACAGAAATATTGCCTGAATCAGCTTTGCATTTCCCAAAGTGCCTGGCGAACGGTGGTGCTCAAAACCTGGCTGTTAAATGCATGAACAAAAGAATCCATTTCTGTATGTGAAGCATTTCCTCAGAAAAAGTCCTAAGCAGTGTCTCAGTGGGCACAGTACTGCCCCCTAGGGGGCGTCCTGAAATTTGGTAGGGGCAGTTTTTGTTCTGTAGTTTTCATATTGGGGCCAGAGTAGTTACATAGTGAAAAACGTATTTTATTATTCTTATTGATATTAGTATTTTAGAATAAGCGACTTTCCCTTTTTTCCGCATTTATAACGTTACACTGGTTTATTGAACTTATTTGCGTAGTTTATACTGTGAATTTAATTCCAGGAGAGTAAAGTGGTGGTGTTACATTCGTGTTGTAAATAAGGGATGTTTAGTATAGTAGGGTTGAATACCTCTCTTTATAGGATCGTTAAGCTTAGCTTGCTTCTGCTTCCCTAAGTTCTAGGATTCTAAAGTGAAACATATAAATAAAGAAGCTGGTGTACATGGATTTCAACAATCAGGCTTTCACTTTAAGCAACAGCACGTTTTAGGGTTAACGTGGCTCAGGGGAGCATTGCTGTCAAAGCACAGAGGGTCCAGCGTCCAGGCCCATGAATCTGTGCAGAGTAGCTTGGAGGATCTGTGCAGAGACGTTTCTCTACGCTTTGGTTTGCAAGTTTCATAATTTTGAAAGTGAGGGGAGGGTGAGGAGGGGCGGTGACGCCGTTCTGTTTTCCCCAAAGCCTGGGTCCTTGGCGGGCCCCTTCTGGGGGACTAGTTCCCATGGAAGCTGTCCAAATTTGAAGACCATGGCTTGAAAAGAAAGCCCTTGAGCAGGGTGGCTCGCAAGGAGGGAAAGGAGGGCTTTCGGGGAGCAAAGGGTGGCTCCATCTTCAACGGCAGCTCTCAGTGAGGCTGAACTGAACTTTCGGGGTTAGCGGGTGGAGCTGCGGTTTGGGTTGGAGTAGAGACCCGAAAGCGAGAAGAGGCGGGGCGGCGGTTGACAGAAGGTGGGGCTTCGGGCTTGAATCCAGACCGGTCTCGGAGAGGCGGGGCTTTTTTTGACAGTGGGCGGGGATTCGGAGGAAGGGGCGGGGCTCGGGTGGACTGCCACCAAGAGTGGGGCTTAGGATGACAAGGGGCGTTTCTTGCGATCCCATGGTGACATTAGCAAGGCGGAGCGCCCAGAGGGCAGGGCCACAAATGACAGAAGGCGGGGATTGATCCGAGTATAGAAGAGCCTGCTCTTGGAGCTACCTCCCGCAACGGGCGGGGCCGCTTCCAGACCTGGGGAAGGCGGGGCTTCTGCTGATAGAGGGCGGGGCTATCGCGGGCCGGGGCGGGGCTTCTGTTGACAGAGGGGCGGGGCGGCTCCCTACCTCGTCGCGGGCCAATCCAGAGGGTAGAGGCCCGGGTCGAACCCCAAGGGAGCAGCGGGGTCCGGGAGTGGAGAGCCTGGCGCGGAGCGGGGTGGGGGCGCGCGGACGGCGCGCGCGCGGGAGGGCCCCGCCTCGGCCGGCTCCTTCCCTCCCTCCCCGCCCCCGGTCGGCCGCTGGGGAGCGCGCCTCGCCTCGCACCCCCACCCCCGACCCTCCACGCTCCGCGGGCCCCGCGGAGCTGCCGAGGCCGTGTGCCGGCCCGCCGAGCGGTTCCGGGTGTAGGGTTCACAGGTCAGAGTTGACTCCCTGAAAAGTGCAGCCGGTTTGAAATGCAAGATGGCGGCGGCGGGGCGCTGAGAGGCGCGGCGGCCCCTGCAGGTAGCGGCGCGAGCCGGCTCCGGGACGAGTGGGCCGGGACGCCGGGGGACTGCGGGGGGGAACCGGCAGCGCTGAGCCCGCGAACGGAGCGTGCGGCCGGGCCAGGCTAGTGGCTCGCGGGCCGGCCGGAGGAGGGCGGCCCCAGGGCAGAGACCCCGGGGACTTAGCGCGCCGGCGGCGGCGGGGTGGCGAGGCGGCCGCGGCGCGGGGCGTCCGAGGGGGAGGGACCCGGCCTGGCTGCACCGGGGAGTCGCCACCGAGGGAGGGCCCCTGAGGCTCCTTCGCTCTTTCGGGGTGTCTGCGGCGGTGGAAAGAGCTGGGGGTGGACTCCGTGAGGGAAAAATCTCAGCCCCCGTCTTTAGGAAGAGCACTGAGCAACTTGGGACTGTTGAGGGGAGTGAAGACGGGGCCTCCGGGGGGTGGGGGGGGTGCCGCAGGACGGAGGAGCCCAGCGATGCTGAGGGTCCTGGAGGAGGTCGGAAGGCCTGCCCTGAGGGGGCGCGTGGCCTCGTGGGGACTGCCTCCCGGACGGGAAGGAGACATCCTCCTGCTAGAGCTGAACGCATTGGCATTGGGCTTGGAGCCCCGGGAAACCTTCGGGGGGGGGCGGGCTGTACCCCACTGCAGAGAAGGCTAAGCACCCACTTCGGGGCCAGGCCGTTCCCCCACTTCGGGGCAAGACTCCGAATTGAGTCCTTAAGAACTGTATTGCGTTTTGAGGAAGACTGGGACTTAGAAGTTAATTAAGGAGAATGGAAACGTTGTCCGTCCCTTCCAGAAGGGAGACAAGGGAGGCCGACCGCGGACTCCTCCGAGCCGTGGGGCCTAACGGGAGCACTGTCCTGCTCGTGGCGGGGATGGAGGGCTGGGAAGGAGGTGTGACGGCCCAGGGAGCGGGCTCTCCCGGCAGCGAGGAAGCGCCCTGGCGGATGCCCTTTTCCTGTGGATTTACACCAAAGTTCTAGGTAAAGGGACTTGAAATTCTTTGTTTCGTGCATCTGCCTCCACCTCTCCCCTCTGTAGGTAACAGTAAGGAAAGAGCAAAACCCCAGAGAAAGAAAACGTTCCGCTTGATATCCTTAGTTTAGATTAACGGAGCAGCAAGCTCTGGCCGGGCTTCAATGAGAGACTCAGGGCAGGGGAAGTAGGAAGCGGAGAAAGAGGGGGATCGAGAAGGAATCCAGGGGAGAGGTGGGGCAGAGTGGGAATTCCACAGCGCTCCTCTATAATCACTCCCCATCGGAAAAGCATGAGAAGGAGCTAATCTTTCTGTAGGGGACATGGAAAGAAAAAAAAAAAAAGAAAGAAAGAAAAAGCTGATAATTTGTGATGGGACTAGGTTGGGATTCCACGTAACTTGAAAAAGCAATTGCCTTGGATATTAAGAGGATAACAGAAAAGGGGAGGAATGACAGGACTGGGAGATACAGGGTTCCCAGGGAGGAAGCAGCAGCTTGCCCTCCAAGAAGAGTGCCTGTTTGTGGGTTTGCAGTGTATGTGTGTACCCCCTACCTAAGCGCACCTTTAGAGTCGTTGGTATTGGTCATTGTATCTCAGTCTTTGTCTGAAAGCGTTAACTTGTGCTTTATGATGTTACATGAATTATCTTCGTTTCTGAAAAATTATCCAAAAACAAAGTCGTTTGTTTTTATTCCATCAGTGAGGATGAACAGGAATTGGTTTTGACAGGGATATAGATTTTTAAAAATTTCTTAAGTAACAATTCTGACTCCCGATTTCAAGCTTAAGAAATGTGGGCGCTGCCAAAGCCAGCAATACTAACAAGATGAAAAGGGCCCTCATGAATATTTTTTCCTCTTAATCCGTCTCTCCTTAATCTAAGCATTTTAGGGCAAAGCTGACTAATCTTCATGCAAAATAAAATGTAAATTCTTGGGTTGTTTCAATATAGAAATGATAGCATTTCCCTTAGTGAATCTTTTTGTAGAAGTCCCTCTTCAAATGCTTCATTTAATGATCAGGATTACAATGAGAAAAAAAAAAGAAAGTAAGACTTGGGTACCTGATGACAGCTATGATTCATACAGATTTCTTGAACCATTCTAGTATTTTTAAAAAGAGCTCTCATGTCTTTCATGGAAATGTCTTCTCAAACACATTTCAAGTATAAACTAGTTGAGGGCCGCGCATTTGGAGTATTATTATACATATGAGCTATTCTTTGGTTTCCCCAAAGTGCATGTAGCTCTAGTTCTGTATTCAATTCTGAACAGATCAGGCTGGATGAACCAGAGTGGCACTGATGCCAGATGGTTTGAAAATATGCTCAGGCTGAAAACATAAATGTGCTTGTGCTGTGCTTGTACTCATTAATAGTAGATGTCTTTCGCTTATAGCGAGCTTATTATTTCACTGGATTGGGAGGACAGTTCGTGAATGATGTAGCAATTATTTCACCTCTCGTGATACTTGTGAGGGTTTTTTTTTTTTCATTAAATGTGAATAAAGTTTTACAGTTATTTTATTAATGAACTTAATAGCATAGGTGAGGTGGTTCATGTTGGAGATTTTCTCTCTTTTGTATTATATTTTACATTAAGACTGAAAGGTGATGTTATTATGCATTTATATTTTCTTTCTTATAATGTTAATTGGGCACAGAAATGGGTTATTTGGAACTTAATTTGCTGTAAATCATGGCTTTATATTTAAATGGAAATACTATTAAAATTACTAAAATGATTATAAATGTAGCTAAGCAAATAACCTTTTTATGTACATTGCATCATCGTGGATTTGGGCTCAAGAGACTCTACTTATTTAAATATTAGCAGTGTTAAAACTCCAGTGCCTAACCTAGGGGTTTTTTTTTTAAGATTTTATTTATTTATTTGACAGGCAGAGATCACAAGTAGGGGGAGAGGCAGGCAGAAGGAGAGGAGGAAGCAGGCTTCCTGCTGAGCAGAGAGCCCGATGTGGGGCTCGATCCCAGGACCCTGGGATCATGACCTGAGCCGAAGGCAGAGGCCTCAACCCACTGAGCCACCCAGGCGCCCCCCCAACCTAGGTTTTAATCTAATATCATATTCATTAATTTAGGGAGGTGTTTGGAAATATCTATTATACTGTAGCTACTGTAACACATACTTTTACTTCTAAATCTCTTCTAACTTAAAATCCTTCTAAATCATCCTGTGTAATCTCAAAAGTAATTTAAATTACATTTAATTGAAGGGGGGATAAACCGTGATGCTATCCTTTGAATAATAGCCAATGTTTCCATAATATTACTGATCTTATATTATTATATCCTTGTTGCTCTGATATATTTGTGGTTGTGAGTAACCAAATTTGAATGGCTGAAGCTGCTGATTTAGATTACTGATCAGGATATACATTTGAGTTTACATGTTGGAGATCTGTATTTCATAGAGTTAATTTTTACAGTAAATATTTATGTAAATGTTTCTATAGTTGCCAGGTTTTGACCGTAAAGGACACTTAATCTTTGCAGTTTATACAATCAGTATTCTATGATGTACTCAAGAGGTAGTAAGATGGTCTTTTATACCTTTGATCTAAATAAAAATATGATGATATACTTTGGAAAAGGAATTTTTATGAACAGGTTAAGAATGACATTTATTCAAGACAGTCAACATTTTTTACCTTTTTTTTTTTTTTAAAGAAGACTTTCTTAAGTGTGGAGCCCAACACAGGGCTTAAAGTCACAACCCTGAGATCAAGACCTGAGCCCAGACCAAGAGTCTGTCTCGCTCAACCAGCTGAACCACCCAGGCACCCAATGCATCAAAATTTTTATGCAGGATTTTGTTTTCAGTTTTTTGATTTCGATTTTTAAAACATAGTTTTCTCAAAGCCTATCTGAAAAAATCAAAAATTAGTTTACATATACATATTTTAAATAAAAGAATTTTGTTTTTGTTAAATTTTAGTGATTTCATATTTCCCATAGAATTTCTGACTCATTTTTCCCCCCTTCCTGAAGGTCTTTCTTTCTCTTTTTTTGGTTATTATGGGGAATGAAAGGAGATAGAAAGATTTTGATTTTGTTTTAAGATTTTATTTATTTATTTGACAGAGAGAGAGAGATCACAAGTAGGCAGAGAGGCAGGCAGAGAGAGGGGTAGGAGAAGGAGGCTCTCCACTGAGCAGAGAGCCCTATGTGGGGTTCGATCCCAGGACCCCGAGATCATGATCAGAGTCAAAGACAAAGAGGCTTAACCCACTGAGCCACGCAGGTGCCCCAGATTTTGATATTTCTAAGTACTTCTTTCATAACTGTGTTTTTCTTCTATGCTAAGTCTGTTCCTTTTACCTTCAAAAATTGTCAAAAAGAAGCTTGTTTAAAACTTTGCTGGGCAGGGGTGCCTGGGTGGCTCAGTCAGTTAAGTGTCTGCCTTTGGCTCAAGGTCTGCTTGTGGCTCAAGACGTGAGCCCCACATCAGGCTCCCTGCTCAGCGGGAGCCTGTTTCTCCCTCTCCCAATCTCCCTGCTTGTGTTCCCTCTCTCACTGTCTCTCTCTGTCAAATAAATGAATAAAATCTTGAAAAAAAAGAAAAAAAGAAAGAAAACTTTGCTGGGCATGGACTGTATTTGAAAGTGAGGGCATGGTGAGAAGAGAACAATTTCTCTTCATGACTACAAGAAGATGATTTATGTCAGAACTTCGTTAGTACTATGAAACACCTTTTCAAATGTGTTGTACATTAATGATTCTCCTTGAAGCTAAGGTCAGAGGAAGTATGTGTATATTGGGGTGGGGGGTATAAATTATGATTGATTAATGTCTACCTCTTGAAGCCAACTTGTTCTAGCATTTCTTAATATATTCAAAGGTATGAAATGAAAAATAAAATTGATTGATTGTTGCCCAGAGCTTTAAAACATTTTTTTTGTACAAAGTTTTTGTGAAGACTTCCTTCATTGTATAACTTAAATACCTTAAATAAAAGTCAGGGAAATCTAACTGTGGGCTTACTAGTGCCAGAAAATATTCCAGACACTTTACATGAGTTAGTTTAAACACATCATAGCAGAGCCCCATTTTAGATGAGGGGGCGAAGACGTAGACAGGGCAAGTCACTTGTCAAAGACCACAGAGCTAGTAAGTGACAGATCTGAGATTTGAATCCCTGCAGTCTGGTTCCCAAACCCAAGCTCTTTATCTTTATTTACAATCCATTTTCTGCCAAAACAACTCATCTGTTTTATTATGCAATGTATATAGCTGAGATGAGTTCTTTAATTTTTGAAGTTCATTCTAATCTTAAAATTTAAAAAGATACTTTCAGTTAGAGAGAAGTATTTTAAAATAATGCCAGTATCCGGAGCTGAAATAACATCAGGCAAGTATGCTTTCCATCCAGAAGTATCAAGGAGCTCATTTGTTGCTCCTCTAGTTGCCTTGTGCCCTTACTTGTCTCAGCCGCTCTTCTCAAGAGACTCTCGTTCGGTAAAACATCTTGCAATTACTGTGTGATTCAAGAATGGATTCAAATAGGTTACCAATTTCCTATAGTATTAATAATTCATTTTGGAAAATAACTTCCCCTCCTTAGCAGCTGTTTCTTATCTTCTCTTCTAGTCCACATCCTGTAGATGGATAGCAAAGGAGTTTCCAAACAAGGAGATACCAGGAAATGAAACTGTAGAATCCCAGGCTGCAGATCACAGGATGCTCCATGGAGCCTACTGGGAAAACGCTCTTTTCCTTTTCATGAAAATACTATGGCCATTCAGCCCAAGCTTTAACTTAACCTAGAAGTATTTTACTAAAGGCTTGGGGTATTTACATTATTTCTTAAGAGCCTCTTCATGAGCATGTGTATAATAACAGGCAGAATCACAGGATAAGGTATTTGGAAGAAATCATCTTCCTTAATATTTATTCATTTTGTTTACAGTTTCAGTGCTTAAAGAACAACAGCTAAAATGCTTCAACCCTTCAAATGCACTATTTACTGTTATTTACTAAGAGAAGCAATCATAGTTTTCATTAAATTTTCCTGATTGGTTTAAGTACTCTGAATAATACGCCACATTTTTGGACTTGTATCTCAATTTTTGGAGAATGATTTTCGTTTGTTTGTACAATCTCTGCTTCTCAACACACCAATTGAAATGCCATTTGGTAGTAGCCTTCTTGCAAAAATGAAATAAACACAGGTCATTCTATTAGATACCACATGTTTTGGAGTAGAATACCACCAGTTTCTTTAAGTTGAATTGGCTTGTTGCCAGCATTAATAATCTACTCCATTCCAGTTAATGCATTGTAAACCAGGATACAAATATCAATGAGTTTATATATAAACATACAGAACATATATTTCCTCCCACCTCTTAGTTTAACTAAGTTGTCTTTCATAACTTTTGTGTACTTAATATTTACAATTCCCAATTTCTTTATCTCAACTTTTATATTAGAGCCTGCATATATTCACATTTTGATAATTTTTATTGAAAATAATACAATAGTGAAAATAGGATTTGGTTGTTTTATATAATATAAATAGAATTTTTGAGAGTTTTAAATTTTGTGTTTTTTATTAATATTGAGTCTGGCATTTAATGATTCTTTTATAATTTTATGAGGAAATTACTTTTTTTTTTTTTTTCAAAATTACTTTACTTTTAAAAAGCTAAGGCATAGGGGCGCCTGGGTGGCTCAGTGGGTTAAGCCTCTGCCTTCGGCTCAGGTCATGATCCCGGGGTCCTGGGATCGAGCCCCACATCGGGCTCTCTGCTCAGCGGGGAGCCTGCTTCCCCCTCTCTCTCTGCCTGTTCCTCTGCCTACTTGTCATCTCTGTCTGTCAAATAAATAAATAAAATCTTTAAAAAAAAAAAAAAAGCTAAGGCATAAACTTTAAAGTCCTAAGACTGAATTATATCCAGGATATTCAAGTGTATTCAAGTGATTTTTTTTTTTTTTTTGTAGGATATGGCAGATAGGTACTTCAGACCTGTTGGTAATGATGGCCTGAGCTAAACACCTAATTTGAAGGGACACCCTCCATGTCAAAGAACAGAATGCTGAAGAAGCTATGGCAAGTATGTGTTTCATAGGATATGGTGAAACTCAGATTCTGAATATGCTCACTTTAGATCCCATGATACTATATTTGGCTAACGTCTTAAAAGCTTTCCTTAAAAAAGCAGCACTTAGTCTTGATGCTTTGTTAAGAAATATACTTTTAAACTTTAAAATATAGGAGTATTGGCTGCTTTAATGTCAAAGGAAGCAGCATCACAATTCATGATAAATCTGTGGATATATTAATAATTGATTTTCCAGTTAATATTTGCTGAAATACACTGTGTGTCAGACACTGTACTAGTGGTGTGGTAACAGTGGTAAATAAGACAAATGAAGGTCATGAAGGCAGAGAACTTTTGTGGGATAATTGATCTAGAAATTTTACTGTTTTTTTTTTTCACCTGTATCCAGAAAAATTCTTCAAGACTTAAAAGAACAATTTCTGAAAATATATTTCCAATATATAGTCTACTAATAATAGTTCATTATAATTCTAAAAATTAGGATATTGATGATTAAGTACTTGTTTTAGGTTAAGCATATGATTTTATATTTTAGTTAACTGACATAACTTGGCTTTTATAAGAAGCATTAGATCACATGCTGTAGTGTTGAAATAGTCACACTTTAGTCCAGTTGTTATTTTATTTTTATTTCTTTTTATTTATCTGTTTGTCAGAGAGGGAGAGAGCACAAGCATCGGGAGCAGCAGGCAGAGCAGGCAGAGCAGGCAGAGGGAGAAGCAGACTTCCCGGAGAGCAAGGAGCCCAGTGTGGGAATTCATCCCGGGACCCTGAGATCATGACTTGAGCCAAAGGCAGACGCTTAACCAACTGAGCCACCCAGGCATCCCTGGTCCAGTTGTTATTTTATTTTAGTTAATTCCAGAACATACTAGGAAAGATTTTTTTTTAAAAGGTTTATTTTTGTATTTTTGAGAAAGAGAGAAAGAACTCTCTCTCATGCATGTGCACACACAAGTGGCAGGGGGTGGGTGCAAAGGGAAAGAATCTTCAAGCAGACTCCCCGCTGAGTGTGGAGCCCAAACCGGGGCTTGATCCCACCACTCCGAGATCATGACCTGAGCCGAAACCAACAGCTGGGCGCTTAATGGACTGAGCTACCAAGGAGCCCTGGATTCCATAGCTATTAATGTGGTGGTTCAACTTTCATTTTTTAAAAAATTATTAGAGTCCTTACAAGCTGGCATAATTATCTTTCAAAGTATTTTTTAGTAACTGAATGATTATATCTTGAGTGAAACATGTAACAGTTATTTTATAAGTAGGGAAGGTAACAAACAGATAAATGATTTTTCAGCCTCTTAATGATAATCTCACTTGTAATCAAGCATAGTGTTCTCGTATAAGACTGTCTTAAACGAAAGATTTAACATACCTCCTTGAGAAAAGTAGGGGAAAACTATTTCCAGCAAAAAATTACTTTGGGGTAATACTACAAACTTTAATAACAAAGATAGGAGATTTCATTATAGTACTTATTTATGTATCACTCTCAGTATTTACATACGTACTTACATGCCAGCAGAAGGCAGAAAAACAGGACGTTAGTGTTGTAGAGACACTTCAAAAAGACATTTCACTCCTCAAATCTAGGATCAGTGCTTATCAGGAGAAATCTGTCCGACTTGGATTCTTCTCTTAATCTTCAGCAGTATTAAGGTTGGCTTTCTCAGGTGGAAAAAAACAGGTAGAGGATAGAATTTCTACACCCTTAAAGCTTAGTTTAGCATTAGCAAAAGGATCTTTTGAAATTAGATGATTTTTGGCCACAGTTTCTTCAATGCTTTCATTTTTATCACATTTACTCCTGTCTATATACACCTTCATACTCAAATTTTGATTGTCTTGAGATCATTTTGTCAGTTTTCTTGAGATTTATCTCTTAGGTAATGATTCTAGGCTACCATAATTCTTAAAAACATTCGCTGTGGGTACAAATTTAGGTTGTCACATTTCTCATTTAATTTTCTAAGGAACTTGACCATTGTTTCTAAGTATTTTTACATTTTGGCTTTGAAAATGGCCTTTTTTCATTAAAGAAAGCGTCTTCTTAGACACTTTTTTCTTTAACATGATGAATATTCTTTATTTTAATTTGACCCTGTTATTCTTTATTTCTATTATTATTTCATGCATTCTGTGATTTTGGTGGATTTGTAACTTTTAGTTTGAATACAAACATATAAAAATAAGTTATTTTCAGGTTAAACAGAACTCTGACTCAGAGAATAAGAAGTGAAACTATATAGGATACAGAGTTCTAAGAATTCTCAGTATAGGTATGAATACATATGCCAGAGGATTCTCAGTTTATGTTTTAGCTACCCTGAGAACAGTTTTTAGCTGGTACCGTCTCAAAACTAACATAATCCTTAAAAATTATAGTTATTTTATGTGTTCATATTTGACTAAGAATCGGTATGAAAGTTGTTTTTATTCACATAAAGTCTTACCAATATAATATGCTTTTGTGGCTAACGAGGCAAATTGTTGTCTGTTAAGCATTTAATTTGAAGTATAAGACAGCCAAAGAAACAGAGGCATAGAAATTCAGTATAGTTATAGCTCTACTTAACTATAAAAAATTTTAGACTTTTTGTAGCCCTAAGTATAGAATTTGAAACAATGTACTATTATAGTGTATTACATTGAGAACTTATTTTTTAATCTCTTTAAAAATGTAGAACACCATTAGAGTATAGTTTTCTCCAGGAACAGAAAAATAATGATTCTAAGTTGAGATTTGCATTTGCTGTTTTTACAGGAACAGTTTTCTCCTGAATTTCACTGCAGGACTAATTCTGTGAATGAATTTATCTCCCTTGTTTCATTCTTAAACAATCCACAAATTTAAACATATACTACTCATACATAAAGCTGATTTGTTACAACAGAATTATAGATGTTGGTAAATATTTGTTGCATATTCATTGCTATATTTTAATAAATAGAATGTTCTATAAATAAAGATGTTTTAATATTCTAATGACTAAGGTAATTTTATTAGTAAGGATTTTACCATTGGAAGTAATCCACTATAAAGTAAACACAGTTGTTCTTTATAACTCCTCTATAAATGAGTGTTTAATGAAGTAAAATATAATACACAATTTTAAAGGGTTTCTTTTTCCTGCAAGTATTAATGAGGCCTTGATAGGCCATGTGTTGGGCACTGGGGATCTATAGTAGAGAGCTAAGTAGACATTCTTTCACATAAGAACTGCGTTAGAATTGTCCCCAATTTTTATATTGTGATAAAACGAATTTTGCTTTCATGAAATGCTTTTCTGTAGGGAAACTTTGTTGTAATTATTTTGATGAATTAAGAATCATGAATTGTTTAAGGGGTATCCTACCCTCAGGAGAAGAGCCAAGATGCAGAGAGAACTATGGAAATTGGCTTGACCTAGATCCGTACACTGCAGATTCTGAGTACTCTTGAGGGTTCGTAGAACTAGTTTGACTTCTCAGACCATGGAGCAGCTCCCAAAAATGTGTGGAATACACTTGAATGTTTTACATACTCAGGGATTTCTGCTTCCCCTGAAAAAAACCTTTCTGTAGCACATGTTTTTGCCTTAAAAATAGAAAGTAAATATTGTTTCCAGCTCCAAATGACCATCAGAATATTCTAGTCTAGGGGCGCCTGGGTGGCTCAGTGGGTTAAAGCCTCTGCCTTTGGCTCAGGTCGTGATCCCAGGGTCCTGGGATCCAGCCCCGCTTCGGGCTCTCTGCTCTGCGGGGAGCCTGCTTCCTCCTCTCTCTCTGCCTGCCTCTCTGCTTAATTGTGATCTCTCTCTCTGTCAAATAAATAAATAAAATCTAAAAAAAAAAAAAAAGAATATTCTAGTCTATTTGCAATTTTAAGGCCTTGAAATTATTTGTTTATTGTATTTTATAATAAAGCAATATTATAATAATATTAAAGAAAATTTGTAAATAGCACTCTTAAAAATTTCACCCATAATCTCATGTGAAAATTTTATTTCTTTATATTCTCATCTAGTTTTTTCCCATATACCTACATATTTTCCCATAGTTATTTTGTAATTAATATATAAATTTTGTTCTGATTTTTTAAATTTAACAGTAAATGAATAAATATTTTTTTCATATTCCTACACTTGATCTTAGCCAAAAGGCTGAGAAGCTATTTTTTTCCATATTCTTTAATTACTCTTGATTACCATTTTTTAATGATCATATAACAGTTAGTTGATCAGGTTGGATTGTTTTGTTTTGTTTTGTTTTGTTTCCATTTTTCTACCGAAAAGTTAACTGAAATAGCTTTCAAATATAATTATATTTACAGTGCTGGATGCATTTAGAGCATAATTTTTTAATCTTTTTTTTTTTAAAAGACTTTATTTGACATAGAGTGAGCTAGAGAGACACAGAGCAAGCACAAGCAGGTGGAGCAGCAGGCAGGGGAGAAACAGGCTCGCTGCTGAGCAAGGAGCCTGATGTGAGGCTTGATCCCAGGACTCTGGGATCATGACCCAAGCCAAAGGCAGACACTTAACAGGCTGAGCCACCCAAGCGCCCCCATAACTTTTTATCTTATTGGCTATCTTCACTTTGTGTTTTAATTGCAAAACCACCTAGCTAGTTAACTAGTCAGCTGTGCAGCTGAACTCTACCCCCTTTTTATAGGTAAGTAGTGCCAGGTTCCCCAAATTTTGAGCTTTTGATTTTGAGCTCTGTTTTTAGTTGACCTTCAAGTAGAGGATGAGATGCCTGTCAGCTAATAACGATTTCTGTATGGAAATTTTCCTATCTCAGCCCCTTTGCACTTTAATGATAAAAGGAGATAAATTGGACCTACACCAAAGACATTCTTATTCTTTTTACCCTTTCTGCTTTTTCATTCAATTTGTGTGCCTTATCAGCTGATTAAGTTGAGAGAAAGAGAGAAAGAGAGACAATAATACTAGATAAGTGGTATTTCTTCATCTCCCAAAAGAATTTTTCAGAGACTAGAAAATAACACTAATTAGGCATCTCCTGTGTATCACAGTGTGTGAAGCATTTTTATATGATGAGCCTCTGAGGTGGATAGCACCCTTCTTATTTTCTCCAGGGCAACTGGTTCTGCTTCCTTTCTAGAAACCTCCTGCAGTGTGCTGGTAGAGTTCCTGATGCTTCCTCTCATAGCATTGATCACAGCTATTTTAAGTGATTGTTTACTGCCTGTTTTTCTTGTTCAACTGCCAGTACCTGACAGACCTGAGGCAATCTGTTGCAGTCATAGCCTTAGGGTAATGCCTAACACAGTGCCTGGCCCATGGTCGACAGTCACCAAATAGCTGTGTGAATTTATTGAATTGAAGAATGCCGGTTTTATAGGTGAGAAAATTGAGGTCAATACTGAGTAACTTTTACAGTCACTGGACCACTGAGTGACAGAGGAGACTCCAGAAACTGTGGTTTGATCCTATATCACAGTGCCTCTGTGAATGTGTTCCTCTGGGCCTTGGTTTCTTCTGCCAGAAAAACCGGGTATTTGTACTGAGTTCCCTGCTTCCCCCCAGATCATGAATTTATATAATCAGGACCCTGAAGATGCTTTTATTTGTGCTTTGGTCTGTTTTTGAACTATATACATTATAGTAGAACTGAGCCACTGGCCCAAACCTTGAGGTTCTTTTGGGAATTCTCAGTCTCCCTTTAGAAATATGTTAGACAGTACAGTGACTCTGGTTTTGTTAGGTAAATGTAAACAGTATCAGGAGTAAAGTGGACAGAGTGTTTTTTGTGTATTTGAGTGTAGCAGTCACCTGAGCTTGAGGCTGTGTTTAATACCAAGATAATCAGATTTGAGTCTTTTGCATTATTGAAGACTTATTTTTAAAAAGTTTCATTTAAGTAGCTTGTTTTAAGTATATATTGCCAAAACCAGTGCTTCCAAAGGAGAACACACAATGGTGCATATACATCATTAGATTGTAAACTAACCTATGAATATTTTGTAATTTTTATGACTTTAGCAAAAAATATTTAAGCTTTTAAAATTTGTTTATATCTGCGTAAGTTCTTATGAACTGACCTTTCTGAGCTAATAAGCTATAAGGAAGAGAAATAAAAATAATAATTTAGCAAATTCCTATTTTTAAGCAAGACAAAATGAAAAGTAAGCAGTTTAACATAAGACCTGGACAGCCAAAATAATAAAGGGATCTTAGCTCCTCAAGTTTCTCTTCTGTATCTCTTATTAGTCCTGGCTACTCTGTTCTACCCCTAGGTGTCCAAGCCCTGCCTTCTACAGTGAAACAACCTGAAGGACACATTAAATTCAGTTTAGGTTAGTTTTCAAATTTCATGTCTCAGTGATAAACTGAGAAGGATTTTTGGTGACATTGGTACATTGTCTTGAAAGTAGTTTTTAAGGCACAGGCTTTCAGACACATCTCAGAACCCTTCAAAGGTAGAAGTAGGGTTTGTAGGATACATGGGATGGGATCAGGAAGTAGTTTAGCCTCTCTCCTTCTCCAGCCAGGCAGCTATTCTTTTATCTGTTTTGCCCCAAGGCTTCTCATAGAATTTTGTTTGAAGAAGGGGCTCTGCTGCTTACAACAAAAAGTTTTGAAAACCATCACTAAGGAAAGGTAGTTTCAGGAAAAAAAAGAAAAACCTTCTACCTTTGATTTCTAACTATAGTATACTCCCAATTAAATATAATCTGAGGTTCTAGGAGAATAACAGTTATAAAATAGCTTACTCCCCTGCCTTTCAACAATTCTCCTTCACTGCCAAAAATGTGGGTGCTGCTCATTTGTTACTCTTCCTTACTTCAAGCTATTTGAGGAATTCCCTGTTTGTAATGACAAAGAAATGATCAAACAGCTGCACTAGCACTTGAACGAAATAGTTAAAATCCTACTGAATTGAATGGGAGAGATGGCATTAGCTTTGTGTAAAATACTCAGTTAAGAAATAGTTTTAAATATCAGTGATTTCTTCATATCCCCTTAGTTTTAAATAGTTTTAAATATCAGTTTTAAATATCAGTGATTTCTTCATATCCCCTTAGAAATCAAAGGCTTTTTCCAGGGTGGGGGGGTGGAAAATGACACCTTCGAGAATAGGGATTCTTTGAAAATTGGATACTCTTATTACTAATCTGATGCATTTTGCTTTATAATATGGGAAATCAGGGAGTGGGGGACATTTAGGCCAACTTCCCATCTGTCGCTTGGATCCATCAAATGGATATATAGTATATATTTAAATAATCCCAGTGAGGAGGATCTTGCCCCTTTCAAAGGCAGGGCACTCTCTCTTTGGACAGTTCTGTTTCCTAAAAATGTTTGTCCTTTTCCTAAAGTCAGTACATCTCATATAGACCGGGTTTTGCTTTATAATATTTGAAGTAAACTTTTTCTTCTCAGTTCAGCTAGGACAAGGATTACACAAATAAATGAAAATAGTTCTAATTTGTGATAGAGAATAAACCACTTAACTCATTTAATTCATTTTCCTTTGGTTTAGACTTCAGAAGCACAATACCTTTCACTGGTGTAGCATAAGTATTTGGGTGCAAAATTATTAAAATGTGTGTATATGAGCATAATTCACTTTTTCTTGATGAGTCACAGTCATTCCTGTGAATTTCAGCTATGGTTCTCTATTGTGATGCTCTCAGGGCTTATTGAGTTTCTTTTCTTTATTTCAATTTTTTAATGTAAATAGTTAATGTATATGGTAATATTAGTTTCAGGGGTAGAATGTAGTGATTCATCACTTAAATACAACACCCAGTGCTCATCACAAGTGCCCTCCTTAATCCCCCATCACCCATTCCAGCCCATGTGCCCCACACCTCCTTCCACCAACCTTCAGTATTGTTAGGAGTTCTTGTGTTTTGGGGGCACCTGGGTGGCCCAGTGGGTTAAAGCCTCTGCCTTTGGTTCAGGTCACAGTCCCAGGGTCCTGGGATCGAGCCCTGCATTGGGCTCGGGAGCCTGCTTACCCCTTCTTTCTCTGCCTACTTGTGATCTCTGTCAAATAAATAGATAACATCTTTTTTTTTTTTTAAAGATTTTATTTATTTATTTGACAGAGAGATTACAAGTAGGCAGAGGAGGCAGTCAGAGAGAGAGAGAGAGGGAAGCAGGCCCCCCACTGAGCAGGGAGCCCGACGCGGGACTCGATCCCAGGACCCCGAGATCATGACCTGAGCTGAAGGCAGCGGCTTAACCCACTGAGCCACCCAGGCGCCCCTAAATAGATAACATCTTAAAAATTTAAAAAAAGAGTTCTTATGGTTTGCTTCCCTCTCTTTTTCCCCCCATCCCCTGTGTTCATCTGTTTTGTTTCTTAAATTCCATATATGAGTGAAATCGTATGGTATTTGTCTTTCTCTGACTGACTTATTTCGCTTAGCATAATAGCTCTAGCTCCATCCACATTGCTGCAGATAGCAAGATTTCATTCTCTTTGACAGCTGAGTAATATCCCATTATATATATATATAACACATCTTCTTTATCCATTCATCAGCTGGTGGACATTTGGGCTCTTTCCATAATTTGGCAGGGCATGTTGAGTTTCATAGGACTGTTTTCCTATTCATTCTAGTTCAAGTTAATAAATATTTAGTGAGTCCCTTATTCTAGGCTTTTTGTATGCAGAGAGGATACAGAAATGAATGAGAAGTCAGCCAGGATAGTTGAGCTAAAAGAGCATTAGACTGAAGATACAAAGGTCCTTGGAAGAATGAGATTCACCTATAGTAAGGAGACCAGGAATATGGATAGGCTGTGGGACAGAAATGTAATAACTCCTCTGGCACAATACGGTAAGTACTAGAATAAAAGATGAACTGAGGAGGAGGAGGTCGGATCCAAATTAAAGGGAGGAGGTGATCTATAGGGCAAACAAAGATCATCATAGTGCATGCCCAAACAAGGCTCCTGGCACAGGGAACAGCCCCGTTGTGTGCCCCTGGAACAACAACTGGGTCTGCTGTGCCCAAAGCATAAGAAATAAGAGTCAGGAGAAAGATGGCAGGAAGTTGAGGTTGAGGGCAGGTATGAAAAGAGCTGCTTGTGGCTCGAGGAGTTTGGGCTTCATTCTTCCAGTACTGGGGAAACTTTTAAGTCAGGAGACTCTTAGGATCAGATATGTCTTATAAATCCTGGTAACACCATGAAAAATGATTAAGAATAATGTTTCTAAAACTTCGATCATTCATATCCGTCTTTGCTGCTCCTGTCGTACTCGGCTATGCTACTGGAATGATAAAACAGACGAGCGGGAGGAAGAGGGCATATACACTTAATGGCCATAGTCTCTGAGTACCTGTGACTGCCTTTTATAGTTTTACGTTTCCTCCCTTGTTATCACATTATCGTTTCACAATGATAATAGTGTGCTTGCCAAAGCCGACCCTTCTCCCACTTCCCTGTCAATGCAGGGCTGCCTGAAAATCCAGGTAAGCAGGTCTGGGGGCTGACTGTGAGTACAGTACGTGACCTTCAGTGATTTGGCTTGGAGATATGTGTTTTGCTCCTAGAGGACTTTTTTCCTGGTTCTGGTCTTATTCTAGATCTTTATAACTGAGCTGTCCAACAACTTCAGGTAAGTGAACTATAACTGCAGTTTGTTTACAAGATCAAAATCATGCGTTAAAAACATTTTTAATTTTATTTTAATATAGGTGTTTGGAGTTGGGCTTCAAACATTTCAGCAGTTCAACAGTATCTTATCTGCCAAGAATAAGCTCTTTACTTGATTGCACCATGGAAAAGCTGCTAATGAAACTTGTTGAACACAAAAATGGACTTGAAGAACCAAAAGCCATTGTTTTCAAATGAAGAATACTGAACAATTTTAAGCCTCAATGCTTTTTAATCACCGCTGAGATCTTCCTCATAACATCAGAATGGCAAGCAGGCGAAAATCCACAACCCCCTGCATGGTCCTTGCCAGTGAACAGGATCCGGACCTCGAGTTGATATCAGACTTGGATGAAGGCCCTCCTGTACTGACACCTGTAGAAAGCACCAGAGCAGAGAGCGTCTCAAGTGATGAAGTTCATGAATCTGTGGACTCCGACAATCAGCAAAATAAAAAAGTTGAAGGTGGCTATGAATGTAAATATTGTACTTTTCAAACCCCAGATCTAAATATGTTTACTTTCCATGTGGATTCAGAACATCCCAACGTCGTGCTAAATTCATCCTATGTCTGTGTTGAATGCAATTTTCTTACCAAAAGGTATGATGCACTTTCTGAGCATAATCTGAAACATCACCCAGGAGAAGAGAATTTTAAGTTGACTATGGTGAAACGAAATAACCAGACGATCTTTGAGCAGACAATAAATGATCTGACTTTTGATGGTAGTTTTGTTAAAGAGGAGCACTCAGAGCAAGCTGAACCTGCAGAAGTTGCGTCTTCGGGAATATCTATCAGTAAAACTCCGATCATGAAAATGATGAAAAATAAAGCGGAGAACAAGCGGGTTACAGTTCACCACAACTCAGCTGAGGACGTTCCCGAAGACAAAGAGAATGAAATCAAACCAGACCGTGAAGAAACTGTGGAAAACCCAAGTTCTTCGGCTTCTGAATCTAATACAGGTACTTCCGTTGTAAGCAGAATACATCCGAATACTGCCAGCACGCTCGTGACCCCCGCAGCAGTTCTCCCTGGGCTAGCTCAGGTGATAACTGCGGTATCGGCTCAGCAGAATTCCAGTCTGATTCCCAAAGTCTTAATCCCTGTTAATAGCATTCCCACCTACAATGCTGCATTGGATAACAACCCCCTTTTGCTCAACACCTACAACAAATTCCCTTACCCAACAATGTCAGAAATTACTGTTCTTTCCGCTCAAGCAAAATACACAGAGGAACAGATCAAGATCTGGTTTTCAGCCCAACGCCTAAAACATGGCGTCAGCTGGACTCCCGAGGAGGTAGAGGAGGCCAGAAGAAAACAATTCAATGGAACAGTACACACTGTACCTCAGACCATAACTGTTATTCCTACACACATTTCCACGGGGAGTAATGGTTTACCATCCATTTTACAGACATGCCAAATAGTTGGCCAGCCAGGTCTGGTCCTTACACAAGTAGCTGGAGCGAACACCTTGCCTGTAACAGCACCTATAGCCTTGACCGTGGCAGGGGTTCCAAGTCAAACAAATGTACAAAAAAGTCAGGCGCCTGCTGCTCAACCGAATGCAGAGACAAAGCCAGCCACAGCAGCCATCCCACCTTCTCCGCTCATCAAACATGAAACCGCAGCGGCAAACCCTGATTCCTTTGGCATTCGGGCCAAAAAGACTAAAGAGCAACTGGCCGAATTAAAAGTCAGCTACCTTAAAAACCAGTTTCCCCATGATTCAGAAATCATCAGACTTATGAAAATCACAGGCCTGACTAAAGGAGAGATTAAAAAATGGTTTAGTGACACAAGGTACAACCAGAGAAATTCAAAGAGTAATCAGTGCTTACATCTCAACAACGACTCCTCCACCACTATTCTTATAGACTCCAGCGATGAAACCACGGAGTCCCCCGCTGTGGTTACTTCACAGCCGAAACAATCCTGGAATCCTTTTCCTGACTTCACTCCCCAGAAGTTTAAAGAGAAGACCACAGAGCAGCTTCGTGCCCTTCAGGCGAGTTTTCTCAACAGTTCCGTACTCACCGATGAAGAATTAAATAGGTTAAGAGCGCAAACCAAACTTACCAGAAGGGAAATTGATGCTTGGTTTACAGAGAAGAAGAAATCAAAAGCTTTAAAGGAAGAGAAGGTAGAAATAGACGAAAATAATGCAGGTAGTTCCAAAGAAGAAGCTGGAGAAACTTCTCCCAGAGATGACTCTGGTGCACCTAAGCCAGGGAGCACAGGCAAGATCTGTAAAAAAACACCCGAGCAGTTACACATGCTGAAGAGTGCTTTTGTCCGAACACAGTGGCCGTCACCGGAAGAGTATGACAAGTTGGCTGAAGAAAGCGGGCTTGCTAGAACAGACATCGTCAGTTGGTTTGGCGACACTCGTTATGCTTGGAAAAATGGAAATCTAAAATGGTACTACTATTATCAAAGCGCCAATTCGAGTAGTATGAATGGTTTGTCCTCCCTTCGGAAAAGGGGGAGAGGGAGACCCAAAGGAAGGGGAAGAGGAAGACCACGTGGGCGGCCAAGAGGAAGCAAGAGAATGAACAACTGGGACAGGGGGCCATCACTCATAAAATTTAAAACTGGAACTGCAATACTTAAGGATTATTACCTGAAGCACAAATTTCTTAATGAGCAAGACCTTGACGAACTTGTGAACAAATCACATATGGGTTATGAGCAGGTCAGAGAGTGGTTTGCAGAAAGACAGAGGAGATCAGAGTTAGGGATAGAATTATTTGAGGAAAATGAGGAGGAAGATGAAGTTATTGATGATCAGGAAGAGGATGAAGAAGAGACAGATGATAGTGACACTTGGGAACCCCCACGACATGTGAAACGGAAGCTTTCTAAATCAGATGACTGAAATGTAAGTTTTTAATCTGAGTGTATATTCATCAACCGCATACATTTAGAATAGTCATCTGGTATCTGACACCTTCACTTTTGACAGTTTTTCTAAAATGGTTTTTTTCTTTTAGCTAATAAGACTAGGGACCTTGACTGTGACCACGGGACATGATTATTATGTGTGGTCTGATTATTATAACTATTACATTTGTTATGTAGAATTTAATGCTGCTTTAATTATTTACTTTTTTAAAATAAAATGTTTTTTCACTTTGTTTTAAGGGAAGGTTACCCATTCTCATAGAAGGGAGACTGATGGGGGGGGCGGAATTCATGGATACTAAAGGTAACTAAAATGTATTGCTTGCAACCCTCCTTCACTAAAGCTTCATTTTTTGCCTATTTAAGGAAAGAATTCAAAAATGAAAACTAAAAAGAAGGGGAAAAGTTACCGAAGGACAGACTTACCACAGGGGCGAGGATTGCTCAGTTTTAGGAAACTAGGTGAAAAATGGGTATCTTTTTTAATTCATTGTATTGCCCCCAAACTATTAGGTTTTTAACTAGAGTTTAAAATGCTTTATGTGTTAAAATTATTCAGTAATTTTTTGTTGAAAGCCAAAGGTCTGTTTCAGGCTCTTTGTAAATTCATATTTGCTTAGATGGCATCTGTTTTTGAAAACTGTGATATAAATTATTTCTGTCTTAGAGATCAAAAGGTAAATAACAGATTTGATATTAAATTAACTCAGTTGCCTAAAGTGTCTTTTCATTCTTTGATAGAAAACAAACCTGCTACCAGCAGAAACACTGTATTTGGTTAAAAATATATCTCTTGCTATAAAAGTGCAAGTAAATATGCTTTAAATCTGAAAGGTTTGGCATGTTCCTTACATTTTAATTCTTTCATAGATTGAATTAATTAAAATTTCCCTGTAGCTGCAAGTCAGATACCTTATTTAAAGTTAGGACTTCAATTCTTAATACTTTTGGAATTTAATAGCATAGTTCCATTCTTCTCTACTCTCTGTTTTGGAGTGTTCTAGAATAAAACTATACTCTGTTGAGAATAACGCACTTCTCATGAAATGTTTGTCTACGTCTATCAGTAGTCCAAAAGCATTTAATTATCAAAACTGTTCGAGAACAGTAAAGAAGGAAACGAAACATAGATCCTCATGATCATATGTGCATATTTACTTACTTCCGTAGCTGTTTGCATCCCTGTCTATCTTCTAATTTATGCTCTATTATTCTGCACAGTATTTCCTTAACTCCCCCATGTCTTCCTCACTGGTTTTATTTATTTTGCTAAACAATTATTTATAGAGAGCTTAATATGTACCAGGCATTTCTCTTATTGTCTAGCAGTTTTCCAGGCTTTCCATGCCTTTTCCAGACTTTCTTTTCATTAACACTTTTTTTCAAGGAGAAAAACAGATGAAACTAAAAATACACCTATTTTAGAGTAAATCTCACTGCGGGTATGGAGCGTAACGAAAGTCACAGGAAGTTAAAGTTTTGTGCAGCTTTATCCTAAAGTACAGCCCTCTGTTTCCTAATGTCAGAAATTTTCAGGACAGGCTTTCTCCTGACCCAGATGCATAAAATATTTTTAACAAGCATTTTTTTTTTATTGCTAAACACAAGAATTCTCACTCGGCCAAGATTAAATCAACAAATGTGTTGCTGTAGTGAATTGTCCCTGTGGTTGTAGTAACCTCATCAGTGATTCTGCAGGGAGCTGCAGTCTAAAAATAACGGGAACTTTTTGGTACAGTTTTTGACTTTAAGTTTGTGTGGATAATTCTCATGTTCTATACTGATACTCTTACGGATACTATGAACAAAAAAAATCATATAAAGCCACAGTTTTTAAAACATTGTATCATATATGTTAGACATACACCTTCATGTATTCAGCCATGCCTTTTAAAATATTTAAAAGTCTGAAATTATAAAACACATTAATTAGCAACTTACTGTCGGCTGAACAAAATGTTTCATCTTATAAAAGGATTCACCGTAAGTTCCCTCTTAATAGTTATTTCTTCACTTAAATATGGTTCAGTTTGCCAAAAATAGGTAACCAAAACTTTTCCGAAATAGTTATTGCAAAAAAGTGAAATACATATATTTCTTTTGCACAAGCCAGACTTGTATATAAAATACAAAAGCCTTTAGATTTCAGTCTGTTTATTACAAAAACTGACAGTGAAATAGATACTTCCTATGAATAATTGTTTTTATAAATTATTACATATAGGTGAAAATGTCTATATGCAGAACATATACGTAGGACTTGCACACAAACCCTAGTGCTTTAGGTAAGATGTATATAGCAAGTGATTTCAGTGTTAATAAGCAAATACAGAGGATGTATTTTCATGGCTAATTTGTATAAATTTTGTTTTGAAAGTGGTAAACATTAAAAATATGGTTTTCTTTAAAATTTTAGTATTTTATTATGTTTTCTTTTATAGCTGCCTAAAATGTTGGAGGAGAATCAATTCTTCAACGCAAGATGTCTGATTTACTGTGAATGGGCCCAATCTTTGATGACACTGAAAACATTTTGGGGCATACACATTCTCAAAAAATAGGATCCAATACCCAAAAGAAATGGAACTTAATGTTGTGCCAAAGTTAAACTACTGCATTTGGCGGAAGTTCTGCAATGTAAATAGAACATTAATTAAACAACTTGTAAAAATTTGAATTTTAATATAGTACATTTTTATTCTGATACGATGGAGATGTTCTGATTCTTAGACTTTCTGAGGGGGTTTAAAGACCACTAGAACTTGTCCTCATATTTTGTCCAGCTTAATACTGTATGTCTAGTGAGATGGGCCTTGTTGCCTATATTCTTTGATATGTGATTAAGCTTATAGCTTTGAGTGACCAAATTTTACAGAGTAAAAATTGTTAGAAACAGGAAAAAGAAGAACCTGATTTATTTCTATGTCTTATTTATCAGGCCCTGCACTAAGATTTAAATTTGTGCATGGGCTTGTACAATTTCAATGTAAGTGACAAAAAAACAGCCTATTGACAAATGTTGAAACATAAAATTTTGTGATAACAGTGGCCCTTAATGATTGGATCTTTAATTGAACACATTCATGGATACCACTATTACTCTGTAATACTCTGTTCATTTTTTTCATTAGAGGCCGAATTTGCTTTGTATTAAATTAAAGATAATCAATACTGAAGAAGGAAATGAAAATGGCATAAGAATTTGGATAGGGTGAAACTCTGAAATAAATATTTTACCAAAAATGTGAAGAAGAACCATATAGTAAATATATACTTAGTGTTTTCTTACAATCATATAGAAATCAGAAATGTTTGTACAGTTATCAGATCAGAATTTTCGAGAATTGTCTTTCAGGGAAATTCTACTTTATGTAGCAATTTCAGTGAAGAGAGGAAAAAAATTCTGAACTGATCATAATGAGTTAAAGGTTAGCTTTTGACTTATGAATCATGGGAGTGTTAACTGTTAACTCTTGCCATATCAGGAGACTGAAAGTTCATACTAACTTATAAACTTTGTAAAGACCGGTGCTGTTCATTCATGTTGAGAAGGACCCTTTTTTTGTGACTATAGGATTGTTTTTCAAAATGTGCTTTCTTCATAGAGAAAATGTTCGGTTTAATTAGCTCTGGATTTTAAAATGTTTTTCTGAATGACCGGATGTAGTGGGCTTGGCCAGTTTCTTTTGTCTAATTTAATGAATAATATTAAGCTCTTGTTTTTACCTAAATGTTTGTCAGCTAATGAAATGTTATGAAAAAGCCTTGAATATGCATGCTGCTTTCATTTTTATAAACTTTTTATTTTTTAACTATAGCTTTATTAGTAATTCCAAAATGCTGCAATTTAGCTGATTTCTTCACTCAGACAGCTGGCTTTGTGGGTGGCTTTTTCATACTACTGTTAACTTTTATAAGAAGAAGCAATGTAAAGACTGTAACAATTTAATGCACTAAACTGTTCTTTCTTTTACACATTTAAAAACTTCTTAAAGCACTCTGTATTATAATGATTAAATTGCTCCCTTTTTTAAACCATTGCTAATGTGGTCTGAGTTTTGTTTGACAATTTTCATATTTTCAAATCTGAAATGTCAAGTATTGGAAATCAGCCTTTGAATAATACATTTATATCATGTTTCCCTTGCAGTGTGTCAACTTTGTATAGCCGTAAATAACTAGTAATAATTTTCCCCTCTCTCTCTTTTATAAACTTGGCACTTCATCCTGCTCTGATGTTTGCTAGCTTTTAAATATATTTATTTGACAGAGCAAAACTCCTCTTCTCCCAGTTGATTATGTCCTTGAATACAGAATAAAAGTTAGCAGCAATTAGTAGTTTTGAGTGATTTTTTTCCATTTTATTAACTGAGTTAAAAAAATGTGGTAAAACACAACAAAATTTGCTACTATATCTGCTTTTAGGTGTATGATTCAATGGCATTAAATATGGTCACAATGTTGGGCAGCTATCACCACTATTTTCAAAACGTTTTCATCATCCCAAATAGAAACTCCATAGCCATTAAGCAATAACTCTGCATTTCCCCTTCCCCCTCCTGCCCTGGTAACATTTAATCTACTTTCTGTTTCTATGAAGTTGCCTATTCTTGATATTTCAAGCAAGTAGAGTCACACACTATTTTTCCTTTTATACCTGACATTTATCATGTTTTCAGGATACATTCATGTTGTACTATATATCAGAACTTTGTTCTTTTTTTTTTTTTTTTTTTTTTTAAGTAGGCTTCATGCCCAGCATGGGGCTCAGCGTGGGGCCCAGCGTGGGCCTTGAACTCACAACCCTGAGATCGAGACCTGAGCCAAGATCAAGAGTTGGATGCTTAACCAACTGAGCCACCCAGGTGCCCCTGTCCCTTTCTATGGCTGAATAACATTCCAGACTGTATCTGTGTTTTGTTTTTGTTTTTTGTTTTGTTTGAATGTAGTTGCCACACAGTGTTACAGTAGTTTCAGGTATACAACATAGTGATTAAACAACCCCATTTGTACATTTTGTTTATCCTTCTGTTGATTCTTCTGTTATCCATTCTTCTGTTTATCTATTCTGCTGTGATGGGCACTTGGGTTGTTTTTACCTTTTGGCTGGAAAAATGCTGCAGTAAACATGGGCATCTAAGTATCTGTTTGAGTCTCTGTTTTAAGTTCTTTCTGATATATATCTAGAAGTAGAATTGCTGAATCAAACAGTAACTCTATTTCTAATTTTTTGAGGAACATCAAACTTTTCCACAGTGATAAAATGTTTTCCACAGTGTCTGAATCCATTTTGCTATTATCCAGTTTCTCTGTACCTTCACCAACACCTTTTGTTTTCAGTTTTAAAAGGTGTTATTGGAACTACCCTAATAGGTATGAAATGGTATCTCATGGTTTTGATTTGCCTTTCCCTAATGACTTATGCTGTTCTGCATCTTTTATCTGCTTACTGACCATTTGTATATTTTCTTTGGAGAAGTTAAGTGTGTGTTCAAGTCTTTTGCCAAGTTGTAATTGGGTGACCTTTTGTTGTTCAGTTTTAGGGGTTCTTTGTATATTTCGTATGACACCTTTATCAGATATATGATTTGCAAATACAGTCACTTCTCATCTTCCACAGATTCTGTTTATAGAAATTTGAATTCTCACTAAAATGTATTTGTAATCCCCAAATAAATATTCATGGCACTTCTGTGCTCATCCACGCACATGTGAATGGTGGCAAAACATTTCACTTGCCAATCTGCATGTTCCCAGATGAAGTTAAAAAAAAAAAAAAAAGTGGTGCTTTGTCTCTTATTTCAGCTCTCAGATTCTAGAAAGCATCCTTTCTATAGTCTGGTAGTGCCACTTTTTAAGTATTTTTGTGTCTTTTATTGGTGATTTCGCTATTTAATATGACTCCCAAGTGTAGTGCTGGAGTGCTGTCTAGTGTTCGTAAATGCAAGAAGGCTGTGAGATGCCTTATGGAGAAAACACATGTTGGACAATCTTCTTTCAGGCATGAGTTACAGTGCTGTTGGCTGAGAGTTCAATGTTAGTCAATCAACAGTGTATATTAAATAAGGTATCTTTAAACAAAAACACATAGAACAGAGGTTATGTGTTGATCTGTTTATGAAAATGTTATCATCAAAAGCTCCCAGGATCTTAATCCTAGGAGCATGTGTTCAGTATTCACTAATTCAGTGTTCATGGTGATTTTATAGAACATAACTATGGGGGGAATGAGAATTGACTATGTTTTCTCCCTTTTGTATATTGTATTTTCATTTTCTTTTTTTAAATTAAGGTTTTATTTATTTATTTGACAGAGAGACAGCGAGAGAGGGAACACAAGCAGGGGGATTGGGAGAGGGACAAGCAGACTCCCCGCTGAGCAGGGAGCCAGAGAGAAGGGGCTCAATCCCAGGACCCTGAGATCATGACCCGAGCCGAAGGCAGACACTTAATGACTGAACCACTCAGGAGCCCCTTCATTTTCTTGCTATTGTCATTTAATGCACAAAAAAATTTTCAGTTGTGATGAAGTTCAATTTATCTATTTTTGTTATTGTTGTTGTGACTCATGTTTTTGATGTCATATGTAAGAATCCATTGCCAGGGGGTACCTGGCTGGCTCAGTTGGTAGAGCATGGACCCTTGATCTCTGGGTTGTGAGTTCAAGCTCCATATCGGGCCTAGAGATTACTTAATAAGAAAAAATCTGTTGGCAAATCCGAGATCATGAAGATTTACCCCTACATTTTCTTCTAAGAGCTTTATGGTTATATAAAGTTCTTATATTTAGGTCATTAATGCATTTTTGAGTAAATTTTTGTATATGGTGTGAGGTAGAAGTCCAGCTTCATTCTTTCGCTTGTGAAGATCCAGTTTTCCCAGCACCATCTGTTGAAGCAACTATCTTTCTCTCACTAAATAGCCTTAGCGCCCTTGTCGAAAATCTGTTTGCTATATATGTCAAAGTTTACTTCTGGACTCACTTCCATTCCTTTGGTCTATGTATCTATCCTTTTGCCATCACCACACTGTTTTGATTATTTTAGGTTTATGATAAGTTTCCAAATCAGGAGTATGTGTCCTTAACTTCTTTTTCAAGATTATTTTGTTTTCTTGGGGTTCCCTGCAGTTCTATATAAATTTGAGGATTGGCTTTTCCATTTCTGAAAAAAAAAGTTATGGGAAATTTGAATTATGAACTATGGAAGCAATTATGTTGAATCTTTAGATTGCTTTGGGCAGTGCTGACATCTTAACATTTAGTGTTCCTATGTATGAGTACAAGATGCCTTTTCATTTATTTAGGTCTTAATGTCTTTCAGCAAGTTTTGTAGTTTTCAGCGTACAAGTCTTTGACCTCCTTGATTATATTTTACTCATGGATATTCTTTTAGATGCTATTGTTACTGGAATTCTGTCTTAATTTGTTCTTCAGATTGTTTATTGCTGGTGTATAGAAACAACTAATTTTTGTTGTTTGATTTTGTAACCTGCAGTTTTGCCAAATTCATTTGTTAGCTCTAGTAGTTTTCTTTTGAAATTTTTTAGGATTTTTTTTATATGTAGGATCGTGTCCTCCTTAAATAGATGTCGTTTTACTCTTTTCCAATCTGGGTACCTATTATTCTTTTTCTCATCTAATTGTTCTGGCTAGAACTTCTAATACTATGCTGAATGGCACTGGTGAAAGAGGGCATCCTTGTCTTGTTCCTGATCATAAAAGAAAGCTTTCAGTCTTGCTATCAAAGATCATTTTCTATAGGTTTTTCATGAATGCCCCTTATCATGTTGAGGAAGCTCTAGTCTTAGTGGGTTTTTTTTTTTGTTTTGTTTTGTTTTTAAGATTTTATCTTATGGGGGCGCCTGGGTGGCTCAGTGGGTTAAGCCTCTGCCTTCGGCTCAGGTCATGATCCCAGGGTCCTGGGATCGAGCCCCGCATCGGGCTCTCTGCTCAGCAGGGAGCCTGCTTCCTCCTCCCTCTCTCTCTCTCTCTCTCTCTGCCTGCCTCTGTGCCTACTTGTGATCTCTGCCTGTCAAATAAATAAATAAAATCTTTAAAAAAATAAAAATCACACACAAAAAAAGATTTTATCTTATTTATTTGACATAGATCACAAATAGGCAGAGAGGCAGGCAGAGAGTCAGGGGGCGGGGGGAAGCAGGCTTCCTGCTGAGCAGAGAGCCCGATGCGGGGCACAGTCCCAGGACCCTGAGATCATGACCTGAGCCGAAGGCAGAGGCTTAACCCACTGAGCCACCCATCTAGTCTTAGTGTTCTGACAGGTTTCATCATGAAAGGGTGCTGGATTTTTGTCAAGTGCCTTTTCTGGCCTCAGTTGAGATAATGGTATGGTTCCCCCTCTTCATTCTATTAATATGATGTATTATATTAATTTTTTTGGTGTTGAATCACTCTTGTATTCCTAAGATAAATCCCACTTGGTTATGGTGAGAGGGCACTGGGAGGGGCTGACGAAGGAAATGGTGAGCTGGGACCTGGTAAGGTCAGGGAAGGTTGCAAGATAAAGGAAGGACTTGGGGGTTGGGGGTGGGGGCAATTGGGGGGCCCATTCTTGAGAGGATCAGCCTGGCTGCAGAGCAAGATTCAGTTAAATAAATGAGGTAGGGAAGGGATAAAACCTTTAGAGATGATGGATATGTTCATCATCTTGAGTGGGGGTAGGGAGGTTTCACAGATATATACCTATGTCAAAATTCGTTTTAAGTATGTACAGTTACTTGTCAATTTATAACAGTGAAGGTATAAAACAAGAACACTAAAAAAAAAACAAAAAAAAAATAATAAGACAGTATGAGCTAGTTTGGTAACAGACTGTAGATGGCTTTGAATGCTTTGAATGCCTGACTGAGGAATGTACAGTTAGTGAGGTATCAGACTTTCAAAGTACCTCTAGCCTCTTCCTTGGGCCAGGAAGGGAAGTAGTAACCTCAGACATCCATCTTTGAGGGCTGAATAAAACTTCCTCTTGCTTCATAGAATGTCTGTATTTCTGGATAATTACAAAATCAATTTGAAAACAACCAGCGTTTCCACCTTTGGTTAAAGCCTATGGTCAAAGATATTTTGGTGTTCTGAAAGGGAGTATCTTTGAGAGGCAGAAATAGAAACTGAGCAGGTCTCAAGACTGGGAGGGGTGTGGAGATACGTAATTTCTAAGGATAGTGAGAACAGTCTTGTATGCTGGAAGCACCCCTGGGGCTGTGGAATGTTGTACCCAGGAGACTGGGGTCTAGCTCAGGGGTTCCCAGTCAAGGCCAAAGCAAAGACCCCAGCAATCTGTCTGGTGCAGTGACTACAAATTCCATAGA